ACATCCTTCTAGTTGTTGTATGTGGGACGCCGCCTCAGCATGGCCAGACAAGCGGTGCATCAGTGCGTGCCCAGGATCCGAACCCGGGCCGCCAGTAGCAGAGCGCGCACACTTAACCACTAAGCCACGGGGCCGGCCCCCAGAAAATGAGTTTTTAATGGTGGTTATTTCTGGGGACTAGAATTGAGGGGAGAAGCAATAAGGTATTTTGTACTTCTTGCTTTATAAACTTTATTGTATTTTTGTTTTCCAAGTGACTCATATCATTTTCAAAATTGAAAAAGAAAGAAGGAAATTTAAGATCTCTACGCTAGATTGTAAAAATTCTTCCCTTCTCTGTATCCTTGCCCATGAGTTGTCCCCTCCCACACTAATTGTGGGCTTGGCCGTGAGAATCGCTTTGGCCAATGGGACAGTACAAACATGATGCAGACTTGAAAAGAAAAATTAGAGTTGCCCTCCCTTTTGCTGTTCTTGGGATCCTTGCAACAGGTCATGTAAATAAATAGACCCGAGCTAGCCTGTTGGGTGATGACCCAGGTGACCCAGCACCTAACCACCAGCCAGGCAACTGCTGGACAGTGAAGGAGGCCGTCCACTACTGGCTGTCCATAGCTGCGTGAGTGAAGTCTGGCTGTGACTTGTGCTACAGTCTTATTAGCTTATAATTGCCCTTGTTTCTCTTATATGTCTTATTTCTCTCTTGTCTGATGATCTCTTCTTTCTCTTTCGGTTGTCCAGATCTCTCTCTTCATGCAGCTTTCCCTGACAACTCAAGCCCTTCAATACATCTCTTTTCTACACTCTTCTATTACTTTTACTTAGTACCGTATAATTTAGTACTTATGTGCTATTTTTTTCCTCTTTTTCAGTGTATGTGTTAGTCTTTTTTAGCTAACTAAATAGTAAGCTGCTTGATTGTAGAAATCATATTTCACATTAGTTTCTTTGGCCTTCATAATACTTAACACTTGGTAGAATTATATGTAGTAACCAGGTTTTCTCCTTCCGTCCAGTGTCTTCAAAATACACCTTGCCTAACTGCAGGGCCAGTGTCACCAATAGCAAGATACCTCACTGGTGCAAGAGAAAAGCTACACAAACATAAGCTGCATTTGTTTCTGTTCGATAGGTATCTTATTTCCATGAAATTATGTATCCTTCACTAAGTAAATAAAAAAATATATAGCAGGTGTGTGTGTGTGTGTGTGCGTGCGTGTGGTCTCTCTCTGCTGGTCCCAGACATGTATGTGTATTATACACAGAGCTGCATATGTATATATTACATATATATGTATACATATTATATATATAATATAGGTATATATTATATATACACATTATGTATATGTTATGTATATATGTATACCTATTATGTATATATTAACATGAGAAAATGTTAGTGGTATACTGTGCCTATATACACCAATACTGTGTATGTATAAAATCTGGAAGGATATACACCCCGTCCTCCAAAACAACCAATCAGCATAAAATACTACCTCAAATTTCTATAAATTTGTGTAGTTTACCAAGAACATTCAGCTTATTTAGTTATGTGAGGTAAATAAAGGATTTCTTTTATACTTGAAAGTTAAACTTTGGTCAAATGAGAGAATTTATATTTTAAAAGTTTCCTTTTGCTACTAAAGATTTAAGTGTTTTCCCTATTTTAAGTGGTTTGGTAGACATTTGGTATAGGGATCATTCTATAGCCTGCTCTTCTTATCTTAATTGAAAATAGTGTTAGTGGTGCATAGGGGTATTGATTTAGACAAAGTGGTATTAGCACAGAGATAGACAATTAGACTGATGGAAAGGAATAGAGAGCCCCGAAACAGAAACACTGTGTTTTATCTGGCAACCTCAAGTAGAAAGGATTGGCCTAAGTTTTATAATCTGTGAAGCCGGTAATGGTACATGGGAATTCATTGTACTCTTCTCCACTTTTGTATATGTTTGAAACTTTCTATCATGAAAAAAATTTTTAAAGATATAACTTAAGAAACAGAGATACCTTTTACAAAAGCAATATAAATATGAGACCTTGCAGTAATGTGAACCAAGAAATATTAGACCTTTATGGAAAAAGTTTTAAATTTTATTTAGTGACAATATTTTCAACATAAATCGAAATAGATACTATTGACACTTAAAATTATTTAAAAATATCAGTTCCCTAAATAGATGTCTAGATTCATTCCCATTAGAACCCATTAGGGGGGCTGGCCCAGTGGCGTAAGTGGTTAAGTGTGTGTGCTCCGCTGCGGCGGCCCAGGGTTCGCTGGTTCGGATCCCGGGCGCTCACTGACGCACCGCCTGTTAAGCCATGCTGTGGTGGCGTCCCATATAAAGTAGAGGAAGATGGGCACAGATGTTAGCCCAGGGCCAGTCTTCCTCAGCAAAAAAAAAAAAAAGGAGGATTGGCGTTGAATGTTAGCTCAGGGCTGGTCTTCCTCACAAAAAAAAAAGAACCCATTAGGGGTTTTTTTTTTTTTTTTGGTAGAACTTTGATAAGCTGATTTTAAAATTCATATGCAAGTACAAGGAACCAAGAATAGCCAGGGTACTCCTGAAAAAGAAGAAACGTACCAGACTTATTATAAAGCTACAGTGATTAATAGAATGTTAATGAAGAAATAGAAAAACAGACCAATGGAGTAGAACAAAGAGCTGAGACACAAGCATAAGGGAAAATTGACAACTGCAATTCTAGTTCTATCATATTGGTCAAAAGGATATAGATTTTAAATCGTTCAGATAGAATTTGTTATACATATCTGAAACTCAATTTTGGTTATTTTTTTTTTTTTAAGATTTTATTTATTTATTTATTTTCCCCCCAAAGCCCCAGTAGATAGTTGTATGTCTTAGCTGCACATCCTTCTAGTTGTCGTATGTGGGACAAGGCCTCAGCATGGCCGGAAGAAGCGGTGTGTCGGTGCACGCCCGGGATCCAAACCCAGGCTTCCAGCAGCGGAGCGCGCGCACTTAACCGCTAAGCCACGGGGCCGGCCCAATTTTGGTTATTTTAAAGAGTTAAATTTGAAAGGCAAAACTTTAAATCTTTTAAAAGACTATATTATTGTCTGGATGAATTTCTTTAAAAAGACAGAAAAAGCACTAAACATAAAGATTAAGATTGATCAATTTAGTAACTACTCATAAAAAAAAAAACCCAATCAATAAAAATGAGAAGACAAGTCATAGACTTGGATAAGAAGTATACCACACTATAATCAGTGAATGATTATTCTTGTAGAAAACAAATGACTTTTGGCAGTACAACTCTCACAAGATTTGGTTGACTCTACCTATTTCATTCAAGTTAAGCGTCTGTATACCAATAGCCATACCCACAGTTGTTTGAGACATGCCTCCCTCTGTCTTCTAAACTTTATAACAGATACCTTGAGCTTACCAGTCTTCCACAAGACAGCCAAATCCTTACATTCTTTTCCCTGATCTATTTTGTCCCACTGAAAGAATGTACTTGGGGCCACTTTCTTATATTTATTCACAGGTTTTAATGAAGAGGTTTTGCTCTGAGGATGAGACTCAGTCTTAAGTGGCATTTCTAGCTAGCATTTCTCAATTGTATCTTTTACACTTGTGCATTAGAAATTGCTGTATCTATCAATCTTGGAAGTTCTGAAATTTGTGGATTTTCTCTTTTCTTTTTCAATTCTGCTTATAGCTAGTTCTTTTCTGAGTTCATCTCTTTCTCATATTTTGTTAAGTACAGCTAACAGCATCCAGGGCTAGTAGCATACTATTTCACAGCTTCTTTGTATAAATCCACAAGTTCATTAGTCACATTATCTATTTTCCAAGTTATTACAGGTAAATGCAGTTTTGCCACTGTATTATATGTGTCATCATTTTTCCAGCCTTTGGTAACAGTTCCTTGCCACTCAGTCCCAACGCCAGTGTCACGTATGTTATGGATTTGTTATGACAATAACCCACTCTTGGAACCAGTTTCTGTACTGGCTTTTCCTAAATAAGGCTGCTGTAACAACTCCAAAGTGTTGGAGCCTCACTACAATAGAGATTGGTTTCTAGCTCCCATGTTAGCTACAGGTTGTCTGCAGTTCTGAGGCTCCATTCAATGTCTTCCTCTGTGTTCCAGGCTGCAGAGCAGCCCTGTGTTGGTCTTAGGTCAGATGGAAAAGTGACAATGCTGACCCACGTAATATCTCTTCAATCTTCTCAGACATGGTGTAGATAACTTACAATTGTATTTCAGTGGCCAAAGAAAGTTCTATGGCCAGGCCCAGTGTTTGTATGGTAGGGAAGTATTTGTCTCTAAGGGATGTACTATGAGTCACTGGCCCAAGGACAGGGATGTATGGTTTCACCTATAGGGAGAGGACAGAATAGTGGAGAACAACAATACCACCTGCACGTCCACTTCTAGATATATTCCCTAAAGCAGTGTTTTTCATAGTGCTAAGTTCTTAGTGAGGATGAACATTTGGAAGTTATCAGTATGTAAGAGAGTACGACTAAGATTACCCAGGGAGAGGAAGGAGAGAGTGCTAGAAACCTCCTGGGAGAGGCATCTACAAAGGACACTAAGATGAGCTGTAAGAGGTAGGGGGAAGAACAGGAAAGAGAACATGCCTAGACCCTCTTTACAGAACTATTTCTGCTCCAAAAATTATAACTGTTTTTAAAAGAAAGCTTGAATCCAAATGCTTAAAATTATCCAGTTGGTATCATCACAAGGCTTAATTTCCAAGTAGCGTAAGAGATTTAAAATTGATACATATTTATTTGTTATTACAGAGATTTGCCACAATATGGGCAGAAGCAGTGGCAGTCCTATTTTGGAAGAACTTTTGATGTTTACACCAAACTCTGGAAGTTCCAGCAACAGCATCGGTAAAGGAATTTTATAGTTAAAGGAGAGTGGAGGTCCATTTTATGTTAGTCACAGTTTTGACCTCTGTTTCCTCAGTGCTTTCTCTCTCTTGATCCATTTTAATATAGTTCATCTTCATCACCCAAATGAAAACAAATTGACTTTTTTCCTATTTATTTAAGGTTTTAAAATGTAATGTTCTTATCTGATTTTTAAAGACTATTATATCTGAAATGGTTCAATTTAACTCTAACACAGGAAGGCTGATTCATGGTTCCATTCTAAAGTAGATGTTTTTAGCCAAAGCTATTTGGGAGGGGGTTGCTTCCAATTTTCGTGAACATTGCTCAAAGAAATTTCTTTTTATATTTCAACTTACTTTAAATAGACATTTAATAAATGCTTTTTGAATTTAACTGAATGATTATGTTGAAATCTCATGAAAAATTCATGAACTTGAATTCATGAATTCAAAATTTCATGCTGAATTGGGTGGTATTTTCTCCTATTAAATTTACAGATTTGATTATTTTTGAAATTTATAGTCTCTTATTTCTATTTTCTTATCTCCTATGTAAAACAGACAAGTCTTGGATAATCGGTATGGCTTGAAGCGCTGGCAAATAGGGGAAATTGCTTCTAAGATTGGGCAGCTATACTACCATTATTAGTAAGTGAATTGCATATGGAAAAAAATAAAGCATTGTCCTGATTTAAACATAGCATGGAGAAATATGCATAGTATACTTACTTGATAGGAGGGAAAACTATTTTTTTTAAGAGTTACAAATGAAACCCTAATAGTTCAGATCGCATTGATTAAGACAGAATTGTGAAATGACCTTCTATAATTAAAGTAACATTATTTGCTTCAAAGGCTCATCTTCCAAACAGTTTATTTGGTCAGACTCGTAATAACTTAAAGGAGTATGATCTTCGTTTTAGGTAAATGGTAAATACTAAATGAATTTAAAGTTCTTAATGGCTTCGCTTAGATCTTGATATTATGCAGAGACGTATCATAACTTGTATGTTTGAGTGGTTTTCAGGAGGATATTTTAAAACTCAAGACTTGTAGAATATGTCTAAAAGGTTACATGAAGTAGATAAAGATACTTTTGGTTATATCCTTAGAACAATGACATCTATATAGTCTCACCCATGAGCCAAGGAAAGAAGAGAACTCCTTGTAGGAATCTAACTCTCATTATCATGAAGTAATATCAAGTATACCATAAAAAGGCTTGGACCATTTATAATTTAATAGGCCTGAAAATTCCTTCCTCTCCCTGTCTTTTGGCATGCCACCCAAAATTCCCACCATTAAAATCACTCTCTTGGGTAGAATATTTTCTTAAGAAGTCCCTTGTAAAACTAGAAATGTTAAACAGAGAACCTAATTCATCGTGTCCTCTGAAGATTAATATGGATTAGTGCATTTCTGAGTCCTGTGAGAGAAAACTAAAGAAATGGGCCAAAGGACAAGTGACTGTATAGATTTGGGGAAGATCATGAAAGGTCTGGGTCTGGATAGAAAGATTTAACTGGGTAGAATGCTGTTTGGAGAGTCCCTGTGAAGAATGAGAATAATGTGTACTTTGGGTTGCCATCAAAAAAGGCTTGGGAGCAGGGGGGAGGTATTTCTTTTTTATTATTATTATTTTTACACCTTTTAAGGGTGATATGATTATTGCTTTGCTGATTCAAATTTAGGGTAGTCATTTCCATCCCCTCGTGTAGAGGAATAAAGGAATAATGGAACAAGTATTTATCATGGTGAAGTTTGAGACACTGTCAAATTTAAAGATTTTTTTTTCTCATAGCCTACGCACATCTGAGACCAGCTATCTGAATGAGGCTTTCTCCTTCTATTCTGCAATCAGACAGAGATCCTATTATTCTCAAGTCAATAAAGAGGACAGGTATGCATCTACTATGTTTTTAGAAAGAGAAAGATAAAACTTTAAAAATTTTTAGTCTGTGTGGAAATTATGTGGAAAAACACACTTGTTTATAACTTTTATTCATTTACTGGGCTTTATTGAGAACCTAATGTATACTAGGGCTTCTTAAGCATACAGGGGTGTGTTACCTAAAAGCAATAAATATTATAGATGTTGTAACAGATGTCACAATACCAGCATAGAGGCAGAGCACAAAGGAGGGGCGGATTATTTCTTTATGAGAGATTGAGGTCACATGAAGTTTCACAGAAAAGAAACAACTCCAAAGTGAGGCTTACCTGATAACCTTTGTTCTTTTTAGCCTGTGTAGTCTTAATTCACATACTTTCAAAAGCCTGTTGACAACTGTCATGCAGGACTAAAGAAAAGGCTGCTAATGCTGTTCGGATTTTCTTTTATAAGTCCAATACAGTTTTGCAGTTGTACAGCTCCATTGTTAGGAAAAAAAAGTTTTTCATTCCCAGTAGTAATCTGTTGAGAATTGATTGTCTATCTAGTGGTGTGGTAGATTCTTGGGTGAGAGAAGAAAAAAGAAAAGAAGGAATACAGGTGTGCTCTTGTCCTTTCAGACAGTTATCTTCTCATGGGAGTTACAGACATATTTGGGTTACAGGTAGATTGTGATGTTATTAATTCCAGATGAGGATGGAATTGTTGAAGAAATCAGGGATCTGCTGGAGAATCTTTATTACTGGCATTCGAAGAATTATTGGAAGAGAAAGTTCAGGCATAGAAGATCTGAATGTTCTCTGTGCTGACAGCAACAGAACTCACACTTGTTATACAGTGAAAAGATTATATTCTCTCAGCAATAGAAAAAAACATAGTTTTCACATATTTTTCTAGAGAACACTTTGTGGTTGGCTATCATAAGCTTTCCAGCTAAACAGCAACTTTTTTTGGAAGGCCTCGCTCTTGTAAATCCCCTTCATTCCCTTGCAAATCTTGTTCAAACTTGTCTAGAGGAGTTTGTTTGATACAAGTAAGGTATGTAGATGCTGAATTCTGCATTTTCCCCCAAGGTCTTTTGGTCATTGCGTTACTTGATTCTTCTATCAGAATTTCCATCAATTACTTTTCCTTCAGATTTTCTCATGGTTTGCTTCACATATTTTCACTACAGATATATTTCCTCCAACGTTTTTTTTTTGCATACATGTACAATTTGTCTGAATTCTTGGTAAGATAAATTGTATCTCCAAAAACATACAGAAGGGCTCTGTAACAATTTATCAGTATGAAAAAGACATAGAAGCAAAGAACTATTTTAAGTAATAGTAAAATACCTTGTATAATTTACTTTTCTGCATTTTCTAATTTGCAAAAAGAGAAATTGGCCTTGGGCACCTTGGCTTAAAACTCAGCAGTTTGATTTATTAAAATCATTTTCTATCCAAATTGCACACACCACATATGAATTGTTTTCCTGTGCTGCCTCCTAGAGCAGGGCAAATGAACAGAAGTAGAATTATTTGGAACCAAGATGACAAAATCTCTTGGGGCCGCTAAATTAGAATCAAAGGACAATCCAGTATGCAAATCTTGACCTTGTTCTTGTACCTTAGGAAGGACTTTGTTTAGTTGGTAGGTTGTTTGTTTCTTAGTTCACACAGGGCAAGGGGGCCAGTCAAGGTGGCAATTGGCAACAGCTGCTAAAATCAACAGCCACTAGATTAAAGCTAAGTCAGAAGGTATTCTACAATTTCACAGTTGCTTTAAAAAAGTCTCTCCTTAAAGGCAAGTTCTCTCTGTACCTAAGGATTTTGTCAAAGCCAGGAGGAATGGTACATTCCAGCACTCAGCAGAGTGACTGCCTGTCACTAAGCATAAACAACTTTCAGAATGTCTCATGCCGAGGGCTCATCCTGCTCATTAGAGGAGACGTTACCACACAAGCACTTGTCCTAGGAGCTGCAAACCCTGACTGTTGAAAATGGCTGAGACTGAACCTGGTCTGAGTTAGATAGGGAGAAGGTGAAGTTTGTGAATCCACAGAGGTTGGGGGGAGATTTTGCAGTTAGCCACCTGGAAAAAGTTTCTCAGGCAAATGTGTAGTTAAAGAGTCCACGTCCTGCAAGTAGTGGGCTTGGCATGCTGGACAAAGCTGCAATTCAGGAGTGCCAGAAGAACTTTGTCAAGAGAATCATGATGTCAACATTAGTGGTGACAATATTGAAGTTTTTATAGTAGGAAATGTGAATCTAAACTTGAAGACCTTGACACTTCCTAGTAGTGGTGTTTATAAGGAGGACTGATGTGGACCTTTCCAGTGAGGTTCACAGGATGACTTTTCACAAGGGCGTAGTGGGTTTGGTGTCGTGAAAGAACTATGAAGGATTTCTACAGGAAGAGGAAAATTGACACTAGAAGGAAGGGGTGATATATAAGGATTGGTGAGAGAAAGTTATCCCCTTGTTTCTGGAAAAAGCACAGATTTCATAAGACAATAATCATTGTAATAATGGCTAATTGAGGTTATTGAGATAAAATGGGGCCAAATCCTGGATGACAATAACATGAAGGAAGATAAAGAATTAAATCACACTAATAAGATGCATTTATTATTCAGAAGAAGCTTAGAGTAAGTAAAGTTGACCTGTTAAAATGTTAAGAAAAATATTTTAAAGAACATAAGGAGAATGTGTAACTTCAAAACAGGTAGAATGGGGAGGAAAGTGAATAATAAAATTATGATCATTACAATAAAAAGTAGGAAAGGAATATATACTAAAAAAAAGTATAATTAGCACAAAATAATAAAGTAGAAACAAGTCTAAGTACATTGGTAATCATAGTAAATGAATGTGATCTAAACTTCTTACGTAAAAGTCAAAGATTATCAGTATGCCTTTTTAAGAAAAATCCAGTAATATGCTGTTTACAAGAGATCCTCCAAAGATAAAAAGTACACAGAAAAATATAGATGAGACAGAATTAAGGGGAAGAAATGCCACCATATTTATGTGTACATTATTTATATTTAAGGAAGAAAGTGTTATTAAGGGTAGAGATTTACTTCATAATGATAAAAGGAACAACTCAGGAAAATATAAAAGTCCTAAACTTGTATATGCCCATTAATACAGCATTATAATAAAGCAAAAGGTGACATATTTTCAGGGGGAAATTGAGAATGGTCTAATATACATGGAGATTTTTAATATATCATATTTAATAATTTATATATCAAGAAGACAAAAAAATTATAAGATCTGAGTAACATAGTTAAAAACTTGTTCTAATGTGCATAAAACTGCATACAACAGTAAGTGAATGTACATAATTTTCACACTGCTATGAAACTTTTGTGAAATTTGCTTATACTTGCTACAAAACAGATTCCAAAACTTCAAGTATATGTTGTCTAACCTTGGGGCAATTTTATTAAAAATTAAGAATGAAAACATAGTTTTTAAAAAATCAATAAAGTTGTCAATTAGTAGACACATTTCTAAATAATTCATGGATCAAAGGATTTTTAAAAAATTTTATTATGGAAAATGTCAAAAATATACTGTGTAAGGTTATTTGTAATGTTGGATGTGGAAAGCAGGAAGTGGAAATTGAAAGTGTCGGGTTTGAATTGATAAGGGAAGAGTATGAAGGGTCAGGTGTGAAGAGGTGCAATATTGATTGTAAATAGCCTTTGATGAATTAAGGATGCGTATTGCTACTCCTAGCAACGACTAAAAGAACAATAGCGAAGAGATATAAGTAAGAAGCCGATAGGGGATATATAATGGAATACTACAATATGTTTGATTAACTGAAAAGAAAACAAGAAAGGAACAGTAGAGGAACACAAACACAGAAGGGGCAAATAGAAAACAAATGGCAAAGTGGGAGACGCAGACCCAGCCAAGGCAACAATATGATTAAAGGTACCTGGTCTGAGTACCTGAGCATACGAGGCACAGACTGTCAAAGTACATAAAGAAGCAAGACCTAACTATACACTGTCTACAAAAGATGCGTCAAAATAAAAACACACAGTTACTTGAAAGTAGAGTGATGGAAAAAGATACGGCATACAAACAGTAAGTGTAGGTAAACTGGCTTGATTATATTAATATCAGAAAAATAAGATTTCAAAACAGTGTTCTTCCTGGAACCCTTTTCACCTCGTCTTTTCCTGCCTGTCATCTTCTACTCTTCCTTGTAGTCTTGACTTAAACATTACTCTCTAGGAAGCCTTCTCTCACCCAAAATCCAGTCCTGTGGGCTCAGATAGCATCCTTTATTTCTCCTGTCATTCTTTTTATTCCATTGTGTTTTAAGTATTTATGTCTCCTCTACATTTTAAATCCTTTTCTGTCTGTAAGATCTGTGAAGAAGGGACCGCGTCTATAGCTTGTTTATCATTCTGCTTCTAGCACTTAGCATAGTGTCTGATGCATCTAAGTTCTCGTAGATATTTGTTCAATGATTGAATATATGAATGAACAATGTAATGAATCAGTAAGAGATGTGTTAAAAGACTATAAGTTACGTGCAAAAATGTTTATAACTGTAAAATAGGATCAAAAGAGTTTATAAGATGTCGGAAAGTTGGAAAAACTTAAGAAGCATATTTTCTTTTTTAATCTAATGAGTAATTTTCGATTTATCTCCTGTAGACCTGAGTTAGTAGTTAAGAAGCTACGATACTATGCAAGATTTATAGTAGTTTGTCTTCTTCTCAACAAAATGGATGTTGTGAAGGATCTGGTGAAGGTAAGTGTTCTTTAAAATAATTAAAATCCTAGTCTCTAATTGTGTATAGATAGTTTTGTTTTTTAAAAATAGATTTAAGGTTAAAATAATTTTTGATGTATCTAAATTATTACAGCATTCAGAGTATGGTAACTTCTGACAAGGGTAATGATAACAAAATTTTCCAACTCTTCATATTTCAGACACACACTAATCAGAGAGAATTATCTTAATTCCTTGCTTTTATCTCTTTAGCATGTTTTACATTTCACCACCCATCAATGGGTTTAAACAAAAGTTAAAATATTTAGTTTAAGAGAAAATAATTGAAAGGTTAGGTCAAGAAAAAGTACATAATGTTGTACAAAGGTATTATGAATGAATTTTGGTTTTTCCATCCCTTTAGTATGTTTGCATCGCTCTGTACTTCATTAACTCAGATAATTAAGAGTTAACTGCATTCAAGATCCACTTAATATCTGTAATTACTGCATACTGCTTTCTGGTGGCACTCTGTATTCAGTTGGTGGTTTCAATGGCATACTTCTTAATTTTTGGTACTCAAGGAGAACATGCTAGTTTTTTTGTTTTTTTTTTTTTTTGTGAGGAAGATCAGCCCTGAGCTAACATCCGTGCTAATCCTCCTCTTTTTGCTGAGGAAGACCGGCTCTGTGCTAACATCTATGGCCAATCCTCCTCCTTTTTTTCCCCAAAGCCCCAGCAGATAGTTGTATGCCATAGTTGCACATCCTTCTAGTTGCTGTATGTGGGACGCGGCCACAGCATGGCCAGAGAAGCAGTGCGTCAGTGTGCGCCCGGGATCTGAACCCGGGCCGCCAGTAGCGGAGCGCACGCACTTAACCACTAAGCCACGGGGTGGCCCTGAGAACTTGCTAATTTCGACAAGTCTTCTCTGTCTTCCTCCACCCCCCAGTTATTAATAAGACGATTTCCACAAAACGGTATGATATAAATCCAAAGAAAATCAGCTCAACAGTATTTATTTATTTGTACGTTAGAAGAGTTTTCTGTTAATAAATTCATTGCTGATGTAGCACTGAGTAGATGTGGGTCACTCTGGATCTCTATGAAGATCTTATTGATGTGTGTCATTCTGGAGTTTTTGATTTTTGAAGCAAATCCATGTAGTTTTCATTCTTTGTTTTTGGTTATAATTGGGACTACATATTGATGATAAACTTCTTAACTACATCAGTTTGTGTCAGGAATATGGTACAATATAGCAATCTATCCTTATGGTTTTTTCTATAACCATTTTTCTTTGTGATATTTAAAAATCAGGAATTGTCAGATGAAATTGAAGATTATACTCACCGCTTTAATACTGAAGATCAAGTGGAGTGGAACCTGGTACTTCAAGAAGTAGCAGCTTTCATTGAGGTCAGTGTTTGACAAGAAAGGTTGTCCTAATGATGAACAAGTAAATGCCTATGTGGTATACATTTTTATAGTGTGTATATGTCAAGAGGAAGGAATAACTTATTATATTGACATTTTGTCTTGGCCGTCAATTATTTATTGCTTTTTTCCACAGGCGGACCCCGTAATGGTATTAAATGATGACAATACCATTGTTATCACATCTAATCGCCTTGCTGAAACAGGAGCCCCACTGCTGGAACAGGGCATGATTGTGGGACAGTTGTCTCTGGCTGATGCACTCATTATTGGCAACTGTAATAACCAGGTAAAGAATTGTGGAGGAATTATGCATAAAATTCACTTTGAAAAATAGTGCTTTTGATTATTACAGAATTATTATTTCCTTATAAAAATCCTAGCATCCATTTGTGAGGATATGGTTAATTAAATTATGCTGTGTCCATGTATGGACTATATTACAGACATTTAAATGGTTTAGAAAGGATTTTTAATCACAAAGGAAGATACCTATGGTAAGTGAAAATAAACTTGTTATGGAGCTATGTAAACAGAATTATTTCGTATATGTTTAAATGTCTGTATACATATATGCTCAGGAAAAAGACCAGCAAGAAATTTACCAATATCATAAAAGATTTATCACTGAATAGCAGAATTATAGATGATTTTTATTTTCTTCTTTACAACTTTCTAAATCTGTATATTACTTTTACAATCAGTCACAAAGGTGGGAGGAGTTACTTTTAAGGAAATTTGTCAAAAGCAAATTTCAGATTTTTTTCATGACAGAATAATCCCATGATGATGAGGATTTAATGTACTGGAAATTATCGTATATTGGAAAAGTCACCAGTGAATACATTTTTTAATATGCGTTATTTGTGTAGATTTTCATTTTGGATCCTTCCTTTACTTTATCATTTTTGTTATTAACTTTTTCTAGTACTTTTCCAATTTTCGCTTTTATAGCCATTAATTTGCAAATTTCTAAATTAAAACATTTTAATGTAAATTAAAATGTTGCCTCAAGTTCTATAGAAATATTATTCAATATAGAAAAGGATACTGTCTTAAACATTGTATAGTGCCAAAACGTAATGAAGAGGTTATAAGATGTGGGCCACAGCCATATTTCAGCCTGGCTGTTTTGACAAAAGTTGGCATGTTTTATAGGATCTAATATAGATCTCTGTATTTACATGACCACTTTTCGTTTGTTTGTAAAAATACCTGAGGAAATTGATGGACTGATAGACATATAGATAGATGAAGAGATAATGTGGTGAAGCAAATATAGAAAAATGTTAACATTAGAGGATCTAGATGGTGAGCATATGGGTGTCACTGTACAGTTCTCTCAATTTTCTGTCATTTGAAATTTTTCATAATAAAATGCTGGAGAATAAAATACCCAGTGTGATTAAGTACACATGAACATCAAGAGTAATAATATGATTAAAGACTTGAGAGTCTGCATACTGCATTAATGGTCAGGTTTGTTTTCCTGCAGGTTAAGTTCAGTGAACTAACTGTTGACATGTTCCGGATGTTACAAGCCCTGGAAAGGGAGCCAATGAATTTAGCCTCCCAGATGAATAAGCCAGGAATGCAGGTGATCTTCTCCTCACATTTGCAATTTTGTTAACACTCATGCTGTTCCTGCTCCTCATGGAATGCTGTTGTTCAGCAAACGCTAGGAGTGTGAATAAAGAATTGTCTTGATGAGACACAGGAGAAATATATAAGTGTAACAGTAACACTGAGCAAAATAAAAGATATTTGATGAAGAGGATAGTAAAAATAAGCTTGATAATTCACCTGTAAAATACAGCTTGTATGTGTCTTGTTTTCTGTGTATAAATATAGGACTCAGCTGACAAGCCTACCAGACGAGAAAACCCCCACAAGTATCTGCTCTACAAACCAACCTTCAGCCAACTCTATACCTTCTTAGCAGCATCTTTTAAGGTATATATGATCCAGTACGTTTTACTGTATGAGGAAAGTGTGCTCTAAATGGAATGTGAGAGTCGCTCTTCTCTTTGAATATTTGAGTCAAGGATTTAGGTAAAATACGAAAATGAAAACTGCCTTTAGAGTATTCTAATTGTAGCTATTTTTGGAATGGAAATTGCTTATGATGTTATGAATATTTCTTACCGTTAATGAGAATCTTGATTATCATTCTGCTTCCTCCAGGTTTTTATTACTAAACTACTTAGACATAACAGTCAATGCAGAACTGAAAAACAGGAGCAGGTTGTGTAGGCATATTATATATTCAGGCAGCTCTGGGAAACATTTTGGTCATCTGAAGGAACTATGAGAAGTAGAGAATTCCTCCCAAAGTTTCCATAGAGAAAGCCACTCGTGGGAGTTTGTCTTTTATACCTATAGTAAGGATCTTGACGTCTCCATTTCAGGTTTTTCAGAGAACATTCTCTAAATGATGGGGGTTTTGGAGCAGAGAATGTCTTCAAAACTTTTGGCAATAGTTATAGATTATAGATTAATAATGAATCTTTGCTGTGTAGACAGTTATAAGTTGGAACCAGCAAGAGTGACTCTCTTGGAGACGACAATAATATGTTAAATTAGGTTCTTGTTTTTCCCACATCTTTATAATGTCGTGAACTTCAAGTAAAACTGTTATTTTCCCTGTTTGTTGTTTTGTATATGTGATTTTCTTTAATTTCAGGAGCTGCCTGCCAATAGTGTGCTTCTGATTTACCTGTCAGCCACTGGCGTTTTCCCCACAGGTCGTTCTGATAGTGAAGGTACAATAAAGGAATGCTCCCTGTCGTGAGCAGGGCTTGAATTCTCTTTATTTTCTACAAGACAATGGCCCGTAGCCCACAGACCATCTCAAGCTTTCTAGAAAGGCTTCCAAATTTGAAACCTGGTCTATTTGTTGAATTGGCAATCTTGTAGATACCCTAGTCTATTTTATTTGCTGAAATATTATGTGTTGAAGTTCACAGATTATCAGCAAATTCACATACTAAATGCATGCTTCACTGTCAGATTTGCCAAAAGCACGTATATATATGGACTAGCCAAGCCTAATTATCTGTTTCACGCCATTGACTTTTTCTGAGCTTTTGGTGCATCAGGGAATCTGGTCAGCGGCTTCATTGTGGCTGAAAGTCTTTGTAGAAATCAGTGCAGTTTTGTAACTGTGATAGTTCAAGTCCTTGTCATGATTTTGTTTTCTGTCCTTTCTTTATTTTTTATGGATTCAACCTGTAAAATATTGGGATGCTATTTCGGAATAAAAATTTAAAACTGTCCAGAATATATGAAATTGATCAGAATAGATGAGTAACTTGGATGTAAATAAGGCAATTAAATCTTTGTATGGACAAACAAAAATTTCTTAACATCCTTAACATTTTCCTCCTCATCTGTTTGTTGAAATTTGCATTCCTTTATACAATGCATGTCCCTGCCATCTTCCTTGCATGACCTACAAATCCACTTAAGTGTTAAAATGAAAACAAAACAAAATAAATCTCAAAATCTTTGCATTGCAGTGATTTTTTTAAGGGATAAAATATAACACAACATTAAAAGTGATGCAAAATCATAAGCTTGTTTATTTTTTTTGTAATAGAGTTAAGATTTTTATTTATAAATAATTATTTCCATGTCTTGTAACCTATACTTTTGAATCAGATTTTCTGGGCCCCTGCTTAACATACTGACCTCTTGTTTTACTTTTTTCAAAGTACAACAGTTACTAACTGAATGGTCCTTTGAGAGAGATTATTCCTAACATCTCACAGTTGCTGTTCCATTTAGATGAGAGTTTAACTAACTGATATGACCAGTGGGAAACGGCTTACTTTGAAACCAGAGCTACAGCAGTTGATAATAATAGTGATAATAACGGATTTTTTCACACACTGAAATTTGGCAATTCTTTTCTTTTAAGTTTTTGTCAGTGGAAATTTTTGAGTTCCATTCAAAGTTTTCCCTGAATTAGTGGCTCACTTAAAATTATATTTAAGAAATTATTAGGACTTCATTCTGCAACTTTCCTACTTAAATAATTTTGTTCAACTTGAGATTTTAATTTTGCTTGAAATATAAAGATCGTTTTGAACATCCCAGATCTCCATCCCTTTTATTACCCACAGTAATGGGATGCAGTAGATTCTTGTTTTGTTTCTCATTATATTCTGTTTGAAGAACTGATGAATAATTAAATGATTTTTTAAAATATTGAAATAGGCAACATGCTGAAATAATTTAAATACTGCATTGAACTAGAATGTAAATTTTAAAATAATTAAAATGTTTTGTAATTATTTTCCACTTGTATCAATGAGAGATTCACACAATACCTTTGTATTTGAACATCAGATCAAAGTTACTCGCCAATTGAAGTTTAGGATTCTTCCCTTTGTTTTTATAGGTCCTTATGATTTTGGAGGGGTACTTACTAATAGTAACCGGGATATTATAAATGGAGATGCCATCCACAAACGAAATCAATCCCACAAGGAAATGCACTGGTATGTATTCTGGTGTCTCCCTCTATTGTAAAAATTATAGTTCTCTCTTATAAAATATGAAGTGAAATGGGGACTTTTTTCTGGTACTAAAAATGTTCCCTCAGACTGCTATTAATAACACTTGAATTCCAGCAATATTTCAGGTTCTGACTATCCTAAGTAATTAGAATTTTTGGCTGATATCTATTTTTAACATTTTCATTGATTATCTATTATATGTCAGATACCATTCAATCATTGGGGATATGTCAGTGAACAAAATTACCTTCAAGTTGGAGGAGACTGTAAGTATATGTAGATAAATAATATGTCAGGACATGATACATGTTAACATCAATACGAACTTTTAAATATAAGGGTCTGTTGGTTTGACATAGCATAAATGAACTTGGTTATAAGATTTCAAGTAGATTTCATCCATGACAGTTTGCTCTTTTTCTAAGTATATCATATTTACTTCTTGGGCCGTTATTGGCTCTAGAATTTCTCTAGCTGAAACATAGAAATCTGGTTATAAAGGAAACTGGACTTGTTTGAAACTGCGTTTCTAATAGCATTTTACGTAAAAATCTTAACTGTTCATATTAAAGAATGGGGAAGGGAGGGCAGAGAGAGAGATGTTTTAAATTATATGTATATGGGGCCGGCCCCATGGCTTAGCGGTTAAGTGCGCGCGCTCCACTGCTGGCGGCCCGGGTTCGGATCCTGGGCACGCACCGACGCACCACTTCTCCGGCCAGGCTGAGGCTGCGTCCCACATACAGCAACTAGAAGGATGTGCAGCTATGACATACAACTATCTACTGGGGGTTTGGGGGGAAAAAATAAATAAATAAAATTATAAAAAGTAAATAAATAAATAAATAAATTATATGTATAATAGCTAATGGTCCCTCAAGCCATACATTGGTGTGGTCATTGACCTTAGTTGTAAATGATTTATATTAGAAAAATTTATATTTGAAATATATTTCAAGGTTTGATTATATTGCTTATTGACACATCATTTTATATATTTATGTTTACATTTACATTAATATTTATATACATACACGTCCACTAAGCCAGGGGAAAGAGCATGCACAGCAAAACTGTGATCTTGTTAAGCAGTGGCTCTCAAATGGATGTTACTGAACTTCAGTTCAGTAAGTCTTCTGTGGGCCAGTGAATCTATATGTTTAACAAGCACCCCAGCTGATTCTGATGCAAATGTCTAGAGGAAACATAAAGAATAGTAAAAGGGGAACCTCTACTTATTGTCTGCAATATTAAGATGTAGATTGAAATATTAAAAATCTTTAAAATAGATATAGATTTTGAAAGACTCATTGAAATACAAATCTGGTTGTGTTATTACATCTGTGTTTCAAAACATTCTTAGAAGGTGCTTGTAAATATTAAGCAAGTACCTAAATGCTGACTTCTGAGATTTCCATTTGTGTGTTTAGTCCATCTATAAATATATAGACTTCTCTTTTGCTTGAACGTTCTTGAATAATAATCATCCCTGAATTTTTTTTCCAAATAAAACTGCTAAGTTGTCTATTCCAGTAAATACAGACATTTTTTGTCTTTTGCTTAGTTAATCTTTGTTTTTCTCCCAGTGCTGTGATGAAAAGGAGATGTGAGCACACCACACTGAAGACTAAGATTTTTGAAGCTCGGCCGATATAGTTATATAATTATTCATTGTTACTGTTGTTGTTTTCCCAGCCTTCACCCTGGAGATCTCTATCCTTTCACAAGGAAGCCCCTGTTCATCATTGTGGATTCATCCAATAGTGTTGCATATAAGGTGAGTTCCATGAGCACTCTTGCATGTTAGACATTATGGCACCACCCCCAGGTAACCAGTCTTAATGTGTGCCTTTTTATTTTGCTTTATTTAATTTAATTTTACACAGTTTGTATTTAGTCTTTCTTTTCTTTTGAGGTTGTGCATGCTAGTCAGGATCTGGTGCTATGAATAGAAACAAGAAGAAAACGCATGAATGGACACTCAGTGGAAAATAATAAATCCTCCTGCAGGAAAAAAAAATTCAAGATTTCCAAGATCTCTGGTGGGAGGTTTATTTTTGTTATATAACCCAGAATAATTTTATTTTATAGAGGTAGACATATATGGGCAAATTTTATTTTCTAGTTTTCAAGCTTTTTCCCCTTCTGCACACTGAGCTGCTATACTTTAACTGAAATTTCTATCCCATGTTATACAGTTACAGTCATTGAATATCAGCATAAATTGTTTTAGATGCACTTAATTTTTTATTTTAATTTGTGACAATAAGTAAAACAAGATGGCCCTGAATGGTGAAATAAGTAACAGGGATCTAACTTGAAAATCTTCTGTTTTATATTTTGCTATTGAAGCAATGGTTTTCAATGATTATATAAAGAATGCCAGCAGTGAAACACTTTGGAGTTGGAAATTAGAATTCAAACTATAGGAACTTACAGGAAAATGACAACAGAATCTTTGAAGTCCTTTGTATGTGGTTGGGATATTTCATTAGTGAACAGTATGTTCAGAAATGTGCTGGGTTCTGCCAATTAAAACTATTTCTGTTGTGAGTGTTCATATAATTAGATAGAGAAGCAAACATTAGTAAGTTTATTTCAGGAGAGCGGTGGAAATGTCTGGTAGCCAAAAGAGCTGACCCCAAGCATATGTTTTCCATCTAACGTTCATGTTTAGTTTCACTTTTTAGAGTTAAAATCTGAATTCCAAGAGCATCTAACCCATCCTAAATTTTTCATATTTCCTGCTACCCATTTTGTCAAGCTTAACATTACAAATTTTGATTTTTAGGAAAATTAGCTGTATACTTTCTTAAATTGTGTGTGTGTTGTTGTTTTTAATCTTTTTGAGTTGGTGGAAGACTGCTGAAGGAAAAGGTTTATTGGCTACCCCATTTAAACTTAGAAAACTGGAAGAATCCAGGCATTTTGTGTCTTCACAGAATTCATAAGAAGTGTTCTGTGTCTTTATCAATGGAAAGGAATCACTTGCTACACTTTAGTGATGTGACAGAATATGCTGATGCACAAGGTCAAGTGTATTGCTTAATATGATCTAGCATGCATTTAGAATAGTTTAGCAATCTGTTAATTTCTCTCAATTTAATTGGACATTATTTGATACCACCTTTTCTAATCTCAAGAATATCATTCATTGTATATGCCTGCTATTTCCAGACTGCTATTTGGATGCAGAATGAGTATTGGATGCTGATTTTTAAAAACACCATTGTGCCTAATTGGAAATGTTTTTACTTTATTATGTATCATGATTTAATTCTAGATTTCAATATTCCGACACCCAGGGTAACGAGTAATAGAAGGGTTTTTGTTTGTTTGTTTGCTTTTGATGGAACATGCAGTATCATCCCTCTAAAAAATTAAATTATCCAGAACATACTGATCTTCAGAAATGAAATGGGGAGCCCCATATGCAGTAGGCAAATCAGAGCATGGCACAGACCATTGGTCTCTTTAAAAATTAGTACTATTTAATGCCTCTAAATCAAATACGCTGTTCTCTGTGTTAACATATGAAGGTGTCTGATATTTACTTTTCTCACGAAGCCTGTGTAAAAGTCTTAAATTACCATTTTGCAAGTTTCTAATGAAAAAGGGGAACTGGGTGACTGATGTATTATTTCTTGAGTACCTACTTTGTATATTTCATGCATATGAATGTTTTATGAGCATATATGTGTTTTCTAAATGCTGCTTCATTTATGTACAAACGTTTCATGTATATTTCTTCATATAAGTATTACTTTTAATTTTTATGAAAGTAACCATGCATATAGTTTAAAGCTGTAGTTCTCAACTCTTTCTGTGCATCAGAAACATTCAGAGACCTTTTCAAAACCGCTTGTACCTGGGCCCCAACTCCCGTGATTCTGACTCACTTGGCCTGGAATGAGTCTCTGGTATCAGTATAATTCCAGTGTGTGGTCAGGGTCAGAACTACTCAGTCAGCAGGTTCCATCAGGTGTTACTAAATCAGCAGTCTCCTGCTCTCTTGCCCCAACCCTATTTGCCTCTTCCCAGAAGCCACCATTTACATCTTTTTTAGCTGATTATTTTGGTATTTAACCACCATTTTCCAAAATAACATATCAATATTGATATTTCTTGATGCTGCAGTTTTAGGCATTATACATTGATTTCCCATTATGGGAGAGAAATGTAGCTCTCTTTCCTGTTCCTGTCCTCAACTCACAATTGTACCTTTTACGTCCTTTTATCCACACAATAGCCTTATATCATAATTTTGATTCACTGAATATTTAGTACCTATATTATTATGATTTTAAAAAGCTTTTAACAGCTAAGCCACATAGTAAACTTTTTCTCTTCTATGCAACTTTCTGCTTTCCCTGGAGCAAGTAATTGTCTTTGTTCTTTGTTTTGTGTTGAACTTATCACTAATTCAACCCCAGTCTCCTCACCAGTTGTCTAAGTCTTCTTTCAGGTTGTTCAGATGTGTCAGTCTCTTAGTTTTATCTTCTCGATGAATTATCTCCCAGAACCACTGAACTGGTGCCCTCTCTACATGCTGCACAGCTCTCATCCCAGAATCTCTTTCATTATTGTCCTGGGAATTCTTCATCTCTCTTCTGTATTAGATCCCCTGTTTCCTGAATCCTGTGTCTTCCTCTTGGACATTCTCATTTATTCTCTTATTTTGCTTTATTCTCTCATTTTGGTGCAGCATCTGCTATAGTAGCTTCCCAAGAAAGGGTGAATATGAGGTGAAATATTTGAGGTCTTGTACTTCTTCACGTCTTTAATTTACCCTCATACTGTAATGGTGGTTTTGGTATAGATTACAAATTATTTCACTTCAGAATTTGGAAGGCACTGGTGCATTGCTTTCTAACTTCCAGTATTTCTTAAGAGGTACAAAGCATTCTTATTCTGGATCCTTTTATGTGACCTGTTTTCAGTGTTTGGAAGCTTATAGAATCTTCTCTCTGTCCCCAGTGTTTTTCAACTTCCTAACAGTGTGCCCTGGTCTGGGTCTGCTTTTAGCCATGGTGCTTGGTGTGTGCTTGGTGAGTCCTTTCATCTGGAAACTCTGCCCATTATCTTGAGTTGTTCCATTGATTTCCTCCCCTCCATTTTCTCTGTCTTATCTTGCAAGAACTTTTGCCATTCATGTAATGGACCTTCTGGTCTAGTCCTCTGATTTTCTTGCCCTTTATTTTTCATCTTCTGGTCTTTTTGTTCTTTAGGAAATTCCCTTGTTTTTATCTTCTAACTTTTATTGAGATTTTTCATTTGTTCTGTAGATGTTTTGTTCATAATGATATAGATGTATGTGTATGTGTGTAAAACATATATACATACACATATGTAACTACCTTGGTTTTTATCCTGGTTGAGATATCTTTGCTTACCTTTAAGAACATTAATGATCATTTTTAAAATTCTCCCTGCATTCTATCTGTTTCTTCCATGTTGATTTGTTTCTGTTTTTGCCTGTATATTTCATATTAGAGACTTGCCTCAGTATCGTAATTTTTGCTTGTCTGCTCAGATTTAAGAGTAGAAGCTAGCAAAATGATTGGAATCTCCAAGGTTGTGGATAGGGCTTGTCACACCAGGCTGCTCAGTGTGACAATCTGGCTGGACCATTTAGTTGAGTAATCTCTGTCAGTATCATAGTCTGGGCATAGTCACCAGAGTTGATTGAGCTATTCTCCCTGGAATGTAAAGGTCTGACTCTCAGCGTTATGCTGTTTTCCCTAGAGTCTGTGTGTGTTTTTATTTGTATATACATGTATCTTTATGTCCCCAGTGCCTCACACTTAAAAGATTCTTAATAAAAGATATTGAATGATTAAATAAAGATGGGAACTATTATCCTTATTTTATAGTTGAGGAAACTTTGCCTATGGAAGGTGAGTATCTTGTCTAATTGGTTCCAGCAGCCTTTCTCATTCCAAAGCCCAAGCTCTTTCTACACTTAGGAAAGAGGAACTTTGCATGCTGGTCTGAACCTCATTCCAGGGGAGAGTGATTGAAATGCCAAGATTTGTGTAACAAGTGTGGCTCACATTTTGGCTCACAGATTTCCATTAGGGAAGAAACAAATTGAAGTGGCCTTATCTGTAGTAATGTAGTGCTAGTGGGAGTAAAAAAAAACTCCCTCAGTCATTTTGGGCAACACTTCATTCTGCTTTATTTTCTTTGGAATAAGAAAATCCTTTGAGTATTTAAATATTTATGACAGAGCTGGATCCCTGCCCGTGAACATGACTTACACATTTGTCAAAACAGTCGTATTTACTTAAACAGCCTCGTCCTAAAGTATTTGACTGATGGTTGCAGATTTGGTTGCAGATTGCTGCGGTCTGTTAAGGCATTCACCTTCATAACAAGATTACGTAAGAGCTCTTCTGCCAGTCAGCCTCGCTCATTCCATTTCTTTTTTTTTTTTTTTTTTTAATTTTTTTGTTTATTGCAGTAACATTGGTTTATAACATTGTAAAAGTTTCAGGTGAACATCATTGTACTTCTATTTCTGCATAGATTACATCATGTTCACCACCAAAATACTAATTACAACCCATCACCACACACATGTACTGAATTATCCCTTTCACCCTCCTCCCTCCCCCCTTCCCCTCTGGTAACCACCAATCCAATCTCTGTCCCTATGTGTTTGTTTATTGTTATTATCTACTACTTAATGAAGGAGATCATATGGTATTTGACCTTCTCCCTCTGACTTATTTCACTTTGCATTATACCCTCAATGTCCATCCATGTTGTCACAAA